AAAATTATACTAGGACATTCAAAGTTTTTACATCTGAGAAAAAGCTAATCACCTAGAACTGAAAAAGTGAAAAATTAAAACTAATAAGGCAAACACCTGTTGGTTTACCTTGGTATACAATTTTGGTGAAGGCAGGATCATTATCCTGTCTGCATTCTTCAGCCATCAGAGGCAACAAACATCAAGAAGGGAAAAAGGTTCCCAAACACAGGGGAAATGCTCTCTGGCGCAGTGTCCTGAGACCCTGTGACTGATCCCGTGCATACGCCGTTGCGTGGTGGAACAACGTCCGCTTGCCCGTGATTGCCCGTGACATCTGGACGTCCACGTGTGATACGGGGCTTCCTCTGTAGTATCCAACAGGAATTAAGAATTCGTATGTGTGTCTTTAGCAGCTGTTCGGTCCTCTCCAAGGCTTCCTAACAAATTCCAGCCACATCTTAGAGACACACACTTTCTGCACTCATCAGATTCGCTTGACGAAACCTGTGCATAAGCACATCACCACCCTCCCACGGTTGCTTGTTTGGATATAGAAACTAAATCTGCTTTGTCTAATTAGTTTTTGGCTTATAGTCTAGAAAGGGTTTTAAAAATGTACCTAGAATCGGTGAATCTCATTTGACCTTCACTGTTAGGAAAAAACAAAAAACTGAAAGATCAAGATACCGGTTGGTACCAATTGGTGCACACATGAACAACGGTGGGCTCGTGACCTCCCCAGATTGTAGTCACTCCTGAAAGCTGCTGTCATAGTAAGACAGGAGCAGCAACAGCATGAGACCTTGGCCTGAGACACAATTTCATGCCCAAACAAAAAAGGGGGTGCGCCTGTGTACGTGTGTTCCCATGGGGTGACAGGTTGCGAGGGGCGGAGACCCCGGGCTGGTCTGGGAGGTCAGAAGGGACTGCTGTCTGTGAGAGCCAGGACTGGCGGTCCTGGCCAGGAATTGTGTTCAGTGGTAAATCTAAGGTGACAGTGAAGGAACAGAATGAGAGAGGCTTATTCTCATCCGCTTGCAGAACAGGAAAACTGAGGGAAATGCGGTCACCTCTCGTTGTCCCTGCAGCCCACACCATCTTCATCGTATTTTTCAGGCGGTGTCATTGTAGGCCCGAGCTGCGAATCCTTCGTCAAAATATCTGGTGTCGGTCTCAGATGTTACCTGAGACTTAAAAGGAGGCACAAGCTTTTCATCATATACATCTTGCCAGTTTACTCCAGAGAAGAAACTATGTCTTATAATTTCTTTTGCATGACCTGGTCCTCCACCCAGGCATTTATTTGAATCCTTTATCAAGAGCCCTGATAGCAATGATTTTGCATCTGAAGAGAGTGTTCAAGGAAATTTAATGCCTTCCATTAGCAGGAGTTCAAAAAGCTTCTCATGGTCCCAGTTGTAGAAAGGTAACCTTCTGCACATCATTTCACACATGACAACCCCCAGGCCCCACCAGTCTACTGCTCGGCCATAGTTGTTACCTTCTAATACCTTGAGATCACGGTACACAATCTTTCTGGAATGTACACAGTGCAAGGCTGAGACAATTTCTGCACCATAGAAAGGTGTGTGGTCCTCAGAGAACACCCGCTCTCTTGACAAATGGAAAAACAGCTCTACCCTATTAACACATTCCATCATGAAACACAAATGGTCTTTTTTCTGGAAGGAATATTTCAAGGATGTTAAAAATGGATGTCTAGGGCTGGGGATTCAGCTCAATGGTTCCACCACTTGCCTTGAAAGCAGAAGGACCTGAGTTCAATAACTGGTACCAAAAAAAAAAGTATGTCTAGTGTTCTTTAATACTCTACTTTCGGTTAGTGTGCCACTTCACCCTTTGCAATAATGACTTCTTTCTTCCGAATCTTCATAGCATCGTATTTCCCACTTGCTTTCTCTCAAACCAAAATAACTTTCCCAAAAGTGCCTTCACCTAGTAGTTTCAAATAGTCAAAATCATTCATTGTCTTTCATGATGGGTCATAGAAGCGTCCATTTCCTCCTCTCCTATATTATCAATTTGTGAAGTTGGGCTGCAGTTCATTCTCTCCTCTTCTCGCCTCTGCAGTCTGCTACAGCCTCTGTCCATTCTTCCCTTTCCTCCGCAGGATCTACATGAAGTGTTCTTTCTATAACAGTGGTCCGCTGGAGTCCTCTGATAATGTTTGGCTTCGGTCGTTCTGTTTTCATTAACTGGCATTTTGCCACTGAAAAGCTGTTGAGGAATAAGCTTAATTCACATTTGAGGTTTCTCTTTATATCCTATGAATGAGCCATTTGTCTTCAAAAGGAAGTATCTTGGCCTCCAGTTTTTTATATATTCTCCTCACTTCTGAACCCAACCTTCTTTCACAATGGTAACATCGCTTATGATGGCTCCCCTCCCCGCTCTCTAGTGAGGATTCAGACCGCAAAGGCAGTGGTGGCCCCTGGCTCGCCGTGACCTGTGGCAGAGGGTGGAGCTGGGGGTGGGGGGAGGAAAGGGGGTGACTCAGGGGTCCCCATCCCTCCCTCCCCGCTCCTCCTTCCCTCCCCTGGAGCCCGGTGGGAGGCCCAGCCCCAGCCTGAGAGCCAGAGAAGGGCTGCAGGGAGGGAAGGAGCCAGAGCAGGAAGCTGCGGCTGCAGGTGAGAAAGGAAGCTCAAAGGCACAGTCTTGTGAACCACCTTAGATACACCCTTATTTAATCTTTTTCTTAGACTGCAAAAGGCTAAATGTACTTGTACTGCTCCCTTTTTCATTGGCCACATTAGAACATTCTAATTTACCTGCTTTTTTTAGCATATGGTAATCAACAATCTCATTCCTTAGTGTCCTACATTACTTCCTCCTCTGATGCAGGATGTCAGTCACATGATTATCTGTAGGGAATAGGGAAAGACCCTGCAGTGGGTCCTGGTCTCCTGTGAGCCATGACAGCAAAAGACAAATTAATGAATAAAGAAAGGAAATGAGACTTAAAAGAAGCTGAGCTTTGGGTGCGATCAATGCTGCTCTAGGCAGCAAAGATGAAGGCACCACAAGCTTGCCACACCTTTATCGGGTACATCAGGATTAACAGATGACTCAGAGAGCAGTGATAATCCTAGGACAATGAGGAATTTATGCTGATGAAGATCCTAGGTTGATGAGAAACTTATGCTGACTAGGAATTTGTTCTTTCCCCGGTGAAACTATTCTCTCACTATTTGGTTCTCAAGGAATCAAGAGGTCTTCAGCTGATGTAATGCTGCCTAGGAGTGTCACAGCATCACAGGACCAATGAGGTCTTGCTATGACTGGAGGTAAAAATGGAGTTATGTCTTGACATGCCATAGCTGGCCTGTAGGCAAGAAAACTAGGCTTAATCATAATTTAACTTTGAAATGATCTCCAAAATTATGTAGAATTGCTCCTGATAATTATCATCACCAAAATAATAAAGCTTTAACTAAAGAATTTCAGTTATCTAGGTCTCAGGCAAGAAAAATTATGTCATGTCCTACTTGTCAAAAAAATACCAAGACCTATACCACAAGAAGGTAGTAGCCCTTGAGGTTTGAAATGCATTGATCTTTGGCAAATGGATGTTACTTGTATTTCTTCCTTTGGTGAGGTACAGTACATTTATGTTTCTATAGGTACTTGTTCCCATATGATACATGCCACCTGTCATACAGGCAAAAAGGTGAGCCATGTACAGCAACGCTGCCTATCAGCCTTTGGCTCCATGGGTGTTCCAAGTAACACAGATAGTGAACCCACATATTTAAGCAAATCATTGAATCTTTTTTCAATTGCGGCATATTAAACACACTACAGGAATTCCATGTAATCCTGAAAGTCAAGCCATAATAAAATGAGCATACCTTTCTTTAAAAACATAGTTACAAAAACAAAAAGAGGGAATACAGATATCCCACAGGCTCCACTTGATCTTGCCATTTTCACTTTGAATTTTTTGAATCCAATAGCAAATAGTGAACTGACCCCCTCTGAATCACATTGGTCCATTTGTATGGACACTGGTGTTCCTTATCTGGATTCACAGAAGGACAACTGCATGGGTAAATGGGAAGGATCCTCGCTATTAATAACCTGGGGATGAGGCTATTCTTGTGTCTTAACATAAAACGGATCAACACTGTGATTGCCATCCTAGAATGTGCATCCTTGGGGGGAAGCATAGGAGGTGGTGGAGGCCTCAGCCAGCCAAGCCACCACTGAGGGCCTCTGCAAGAATGAGCCACCCCTCGAGACTGTCAGTGACACAACTGGGACTGACGGTGACAGAGGGAGAATTATTCTATGTAGAAACCTCAAGGCTACAACTCATGAGGCCAGACTAATGGTCAGTAGGCTGACACGGGAGGATCATCCTGAGTTTGAGGCCAGCTGGGCTACATAGGTCAAGGCCAGCCTGAAATAAATAGTGAGACCTGGTCACAAAAAAACCCAAAACACTATTTAAGACACTTTTAGTTATCTGTCATACCCAGCTTTAGACACACCAAGAAAACATGGGTAGTTCTCAAGAGGTGAGAGAGCCAGAAAAGGCCTTGTTCCAGCACAAGTTTAGTCTGCTTTGAGCAATATTGATGCTGTTGAATTCATTTTATGGGCCAGGGATTTAGCTCAGTGGTTCCACCACCTGCATCACAAGTGCAAGGTTCCAAGTTCAATCCCTGGCATCAAAACAAAAAAAACAAAAAATTATTCAATGTATAAATAAGCAAGCATATGAGCCATTAAACACAGAAGCTTATCAACCAACAAGCCTTATTATAAACCAGTGGTCATTCATTTAACATAACCAAGACATTACGTTTTGATAAAACAAGCAGCACACATTCTAAGGATGCAAGGATCAGACAGGGCTTCAGGGTGATTCGGGGGACTCTAGAAAAAGGTAATCCAGAAAAAAGCCAGCAAAAAACGAGCGGCTCCAGAGCCAGCTTTAACATTAACTACAACATTGTTTCTTAAATAACTGGGTGATACTGGGACCTGCATTTGTGCTTCTCCCACTTTTTCTTACTGAAAAAGACTCTACATTTTAAGAACTGTCCAGTAAGACACATTGCTGTTTTTACCAACCTCGCCCACCCAGCTTTGAATATACCTGTCCCATCATTCTTGCTATTTTCTTAAGCAGCTCTTGATGTCTTCTCTCCCAAGCGTCTTTATGAGATGTGATCAAAAGTACAGTGAATGAAGCTGCCGAGGGCCTTTTAGTAGAAAGGCAGGCACATAAAAACAGCAGCGCCCTCACACACCTTACTCACTTGATCTACTGCGATGCAACTTCTGCCTCCTCCCTAAAGTCAAAGGACCATGAAATGCAAACGTTTTGAATGAATTCAGGACCTCAAGACAGATATGACAGAGCAACTAAAGACACTCATGAAAGAGTGCCCAGAACTGCTTCAGAAAGTGGCAAGAAATGGGTTGTTCAGTCAGAGAACAGAGTTTCTGAGAGGGATTAATGGCAATGTACCTTTTATAGTAATACATTTTTATTTCAATACACATTGCATTTCTTGATCACGCCTTGAATGTCAAAACCAAATCCAAAAGCAAGAGCATAAGAGATTGACTTTTAGGCGGTTACTGGATCTTGAGCAGTTGGCCCTCATGAATAGGATTAGTGCCCTTGGAAAGGAGACCACAGAGAGCTCATTTGCCCCTTCCACCATGTGAGGGCACAGCAAGAAGGCTCCATCTTTGAAGAACAGTGTAGACACCAGGCTCTGTATCTGCTGGTGCCTTGATCTTGGACTTTCCATTCTCTAGAACTGTGAGCAATTTATTTTACTATGGCAGCCTAAATGGAGAAGCCAGTTGACTGAGGGAAGACAAAGAACCTAACAGGATTTGGAAGCCTGATAATGCACCAATGGCTGACTTTGAGGAGGGGAAACACTCTGAGACAGGCCATCAGGTGACTGTACTGTCAGGTGATCTCACTCCTGTGCAAACATCAGGGTATTTCTACAAACCTCAGGGGGATTAAGGACTTGCTTTGGCAATCATTTCCCTACACAAATCTTATCTTCCTTCCCAAAGTTCTTCGGGTGTCTTTACATCAGCACTCAGACTCAATGCTTACTCTCACATTGTTTTGAATCATTCCTGAATCGTATGAACCCAAGTGAGCAGTAAATTCAATATTCTAATCTCTTCCAGCCTTTCCTTCAACACTCCAAGTAAACTCTTTGTGTTAGTCATCATCTTCATGATGAAGGTGTACTTCAGTGTCTAGTTGTCTATTTGGGTCATGAGAAATTTCTCCATGTCTGGTAAGGATTCTTCTTGAAGTTTCAATGCTTTCAATGAAGCAGATCCGTTACCAGCTTCTGTCACTTTATTCCTTAAGATTGTAGCTGTGGTGGAAATGACTGGTGAGCAGTAACCATCAGTGATTTGCCAGCTTCATGGTCCTTCATCACTTAATTTCATTGCCAGGTGAATCACTTGATGTAGCCTCTTCCTGGCAGTACTAGCACTGGAGTTTGTATGTTTATGCACCGTGATGGATAAAATTATAGGAGACTAAAGCAAGCCCAAGAGAAAATGATACATTCGAGACAGGTGGTAACACGCAGTATACCAGGCTGCTGCTGGCCACTGTGGTATCCATGTTCTGTTGGTGGTTGAAACTTCACTCTGCAGTGTGTCTGTATGCAGTGTATCGCATGAAAACAAACAGGAAGATGACGATTTCAGAACATTTGGACATGCAGCAATAGGTAAGTGTGCCTTATGGTCTCCCATGGCAGATGCCTAACCTTGAAGACCACTCCCTCTCCCTTCTGCGCTATGAAAGAACGGTTCTGGGGAAAAGAGTAGGTGGTGCAGAGCTGAGGCTACCGTCAAAGTCAGGATATGATCATGATGGGCCCACTGTGCTCTGGCTTCTCAACAATGAGTATCAATCTCTCTTACCATCTGAAGAACACAAGCCTCTTAATATTTACTTATGGCAAATAGCCAATTACACAAAATACAGGATTGGAACACAAATTTGTTTTTAAAGTTTGTTTTTGACACTTGAAGGATTTCATTTCAAACTCTCAATTATATAATTACAAAATAAAAATCCATGTTTCAGGTCAACATCCTTAAGCCTAAGATAAGATTCATGTCACTTATCACAAAGTTAGACAGTCAAGTGTATAAAGGAGAAACAAAACAGAAGCAGTATTTACAAGTTCAGACTACATGAGACACTGTGAAGAATCTTTTGTCAATAAACACATTACATACTTGTATACACTACATTTCAAAAATAATAAGAACTTGACTGTAAATAATCTGATAAAGGGCATAGCGTGAGGATTTTAACTTCTATTCAAAATCACCAATTGAAGACTTTAAATTCAAGGTCTAAATGACAGACTTTAAACTCAAGGACAGATTGTCTAAGGACAAGCCATTAGCATTCAAGTTATTAGGCAGTTCCCCTGTTAAGTACAAAATTAGGAACCACTAAATGGATTAGCCTAATTAAAAATTTTGTTCATTTCTCAATGACTCACAACTATAAGTCTTGCCACAGATCATTCAGTCACAGTACTTCTATCCTTGTGTAGAAATTTCTGCTGCATTTTAAGTTCTTATTCAAAACAATTTTCTTTCCATTTCTGTATTTTTAAGTAGAAAATATTTTAAAACAAGGAAATATCTCTTCCTTAGCCAGAGACGGGTTTCTGTATTGATTCCTGGAAGAGGAAAAAAGAAAAAATTCCTGTTTCCTCTTCTACCTCAAAGCCATGAATCAAACTAAACAAATCCAACTCCTAATGTAGTGTCGCCCAGGGCCCCGGGCCAGAGACAATATTTCATGCTAGTCCCCTGCTATATGCTGAGCACAGTGTAGTTATTTACATTACGAAATCTCTTTAACAAGCTGAGTCATCCCAGTGCTTCCCTCAGCAGTAGCCTGGCTAAAGCAGACGAGAGCAGCGGCGTCTGCGAATAGGAACATCGAAGACTCTCCTCCGCCTCTCCTCCTCCTCCTCTTCATCCGATTCGTCCATGTCTGCCGAATCATCATCGTCGTCTTCCTCCTCCTCCTCCTCCTCTTCTTCCTCTTCCATCTCTTCGTACTCATCAGGACCCATCTCCTTGAAAGAGAAAACAATCTTTTGATAACAACGTCCAATGGGTTTTTATAGTAATTTAAGGCAAGTTTTCATTGATCTAGAACAACAACAACCAGACAAGCCGTCTGTCAGTTTTCGTGGATTTCAATAGTGCAGTTTCATACTGCATGTGCTGCTCTCGAATGCATACTGTATCACACATTCAATAATGCTCAGTACACTTCTAATGGTAAACCTCTTTCATCACGACTGTACTCAGTTGGTTTTTGGGGTATTTTTTTTTTTTGGACAGGGTCTCACTGTAGTTGAGACTGACCTGGAACTCACTATGTAGCCCAGACTGGTCTTGAACTCACAGCGATCCTCCTGCCTCAGCCTCCCGAGTGCTGGGATTACAGGTGTGCGCCACCACGCCCAGCCTGGACTCAAGTTTTTATATGGTGGCTGCTCATTCAAGGTAGCAAGTAGACTCCTCCTAAAAACCCAAGATAAACTTTTCCTGAACTTATCATCCTAACACATGAAATAACAATTTTAATTAATCTATAGGCTTACAGAAAAGTGCTGAAAAATATTACTCAGGTAGGACCTCTACTGGTAACTTTTATGTACTGTTAGCAAGAGGCCTGAAAGACTTTTATTCAACTCCTATTATAAAAGACATGTTTGAATTCAAACATCAGTAGCCTCTACTTTAAAAAGAATTAATTTTATTGTTTCAGTGGCTCAAACAACATTTATTATCTCTCCTGGTTCTCGTGGGTTGGGTTTTTAGGAAGTACTTAATGGGGCCGTTCTGGCTTGACGTCTCTCGTGATGTGGTAGTCAGATGGCTGGAACTGGCATCACCTCAAGGGACTCTTCACTCACATGTCTGGTACCGGGGCTGGGGTGATCAGTACATCTGGAGAAGGAAATAGTGGGGCTCCTGTTGACTCTATGCACCAGCTCTACACAGTCCCTCCAGCATAATGGCTTCATGGTGGCTGGACTTCGTCCATGGCAGGAGGCTCAGGACACCAAAGGCATATTCCAGGATAGAGAGCTAGGCTGAAGATGTATCACCTTTTTCTAAGCCTCTGAAATCAGTGTCACTTAGCCAGTTCACTAGAAGTATATCTCTAACATCAGTTCACACTGTAGGGAAAGGGTGGCCTTATTCCAAGTCACTTGCTGAAGGCTCTAGAAGAGGAAGTAGTAGTGCTCGACAACAGATCTCCAAGTATCTCCTAGAAACTAATTCTGCTTAAGCACTTTCTGTAATCAAGCTTTCCCTTAACTGGATGCCAATTTCTCTCCAAAACAAGACAAGACTGAGAAGAGCTGCTATACTGGACCCAGCTGGTAATCAGAAAAACACTGGGAAACTTGGAGCATATCAGCAAAAGTCTTCCTATGAAGGCTTTTATGACATCACATGACCCAGCAGCCTGGCATCCCTCCAGTCTCATCCCCAGCCTCACCCCTCATCTGCTGTACCCAGCTATGCCTGCCCTCCTGCTTCCAACCACGCACACGGTGTTAGGGTCTAACTCTTGTGTTAGGACCTCTGCACTTGCTGCTTCTGCTAAGCACTCTCCTTCCAGGCATACACCTCGCTCCCTCCAACTCTTTATATCTTAGCTTACAGGGCACCGAGGCCTTTTCTAACACATCTCTGTATCAGGACCCAGCAAGGCACTGCTCGTCTCCTGTACTTTCATTTTTCTCCACAATGCTTGTAACTGCTTCAAACAAGTAAATAGTGCATATTTGTTATAGTTTGGCTCTTCCAATTAGAATGTAAATTCCAAGACACAGGTTTTGATTGTTACTACAGTACTAAGATATTTGTTGAAGGAACAAATTAATGTAAGAGAAAAAAATTGTGTCACTTAGAATTTATTATGACAATAACAATCAGCAACCATACACAGATAAGTAACATAAGATATTCCACTACTGTATCTTTGCACATAAATACATTTTTTTAATCTAAGGAATGAAGGCCTTAAGATTCAGTAAGCAATCCAAAAACTGGGAAAGCAAAGACTGGAAATTCTAAAACATGATGCCCGCGTGGTATGACTATCAATTATGTTAATGAGGTTAGAGGAATAAATATGTCAAAAAACAAGGGTAAAGAGATAAGTTTACACATACTAACATCAGATGGAAAGAGGAACACAGACAAGAATGGAAATAAGTAAGCAGCAGAGGCCTCTACAAGGCCCTCAAACAAGAACAATTAACAGCCCAGTCAGACCAGGAAAAGGCAAAGGACTAACCAAAAAGTGCACTTTGAAGTGGCAAAGCACAAAGACAAAGGAAATATTAAAGCATACTAATTAGACTAATAGAAGACAAAAAGAAGAATGATTCAACTTGTACATCAAGAAAACTAGTACAGCAACAGGTAAGAACTTAACAAATACAACCCCACTGCCTTCTTTATGTTGCCTCAAAGTCCAGAATTCTCATTTCTACTTATGGATTTCTCATCTTGAGAGAAGACATTTTAAGGCAGGTCAAGATTTTATATGTTTACGTGTTTACTTTAAGAGAAAACAAACTCTTAACAAGTTCAAAATTAAGAGAGGGTTGAACACGTGAACAGGTTTATTTACTGTAATGTTAAAAGGAATTGGTAGTAAATATTCCCCAACTTCTTAGTTTTAATGTCTGACATGATAAATACTGATATGGCCCCTGTAAACACGGATTCTCTGGATTCCTCAGTAAGTTTCAGCATCTAAGGGGGCCATGAGGCTGGAGTGCTTGAGAACCACTGTTCCTAACTAAAGACTACATTACACCTACCCTGGTATGAAATGCAAGCCTCAAAAGGATCAAGCTGACCCAACAGGAGTTCCACTCCCTGTCTAAACAAACCTCAGTGCTCTTAAACTTTAGGACAAGGAATGTTATCAGAGATGAAGAGAGAGATTCCTAATGATAAAAAGAACTACTTCCTTGAAAGACATAACAATCCTACTCATATTTACATACAATTATAAAGCTTCAAAATACAAGAGGCAAATCTGACAGAACTAAATCTGACAAAACCATAATTTTGGAATCATCTTTTCAGTAGCTGACAAAGACTAAAAATAGCATAAATATACAGATGACCTGAAAAACTTTGTCAACCAACCAATCACTCTGACCTGTGTTTATAGAATAATATTCCCCAGGTGGCAGAATATACATTCTTTTCAAATACACAAAGATCATTTACCAAGATATGTAAATTCTTCACATGTTGAGCCATAAGACATAAAAATAATGAAAATACAGAGCAAATTCTTTAGTCACAATAAAATTAAAATCAATAACCAAAAGATAACTGAAAAGTTTCCAAATATTTGGAAATTAATACATTTCTAGAAGTCACAGACCACACTTAAATTACAAAGGAAACTGGAATATTTTGAACTAAATGTTAACAAAAACACATCAAAATTTGTGAGACACAGCTAAAACATTGCCTAGAGATGAAAAGTCTAATAATGTCCGCTTTATAAAGCTAGAAGAAAAACAAATTAAACCCAAAGCAAGTAGAAGAGAAATAAAGACAACTGCAGAACTGAATGAAATGGAAAGTGAGCAAATAGAGAATAATCAGTGAAATCTAAAGTTGTTCGTTTAAGGGATCAGCAAGTGATAATAATCATGTAATGAACAATAGAGAAGATGTTACCAATATTAAGAAGAGGATACGTGACTATAGCATTTATAGCCATTAAAAGGATATCAAGGGAATACTGTGAATAACGCCAATAAATTCAATATTTAGATGAAATAGATAAATTCCATGAAAGGCACAAATTATCAAAACTGAAACAAGAAAAAATGGAGAATATGAATATTAAAGGAATTAAATTCGTATTTTTTTTCCACAAAGAAAACTCCAGTCCCAGATATCTTCCTAGATGATTACCAATCATTTAAGGGTAAGTTGATACCAGTCTCACTCAGATATTGGACTGTTCAAAAACTGAAGTCTGGGCCAGGGATTTAGCTCAGTGGCACTGTGCCTGCCTCACAAGCCCAAGGACTTGAGATCAATCCCTGGTACAAAACAAGACATTGAAGTCTGTTACAGAAAGTATCAAACTCCTAGAACTAAAAATATAATTTCTAATTTTCCTCCATTGGAGAAGAAGGCCACAACTTCACTTACAAATCCAGATTGTAAGCCCTTTCCATGGTCCCACAAAATAAAGGTGTAGAGGCTCATCACCACCCTTTTCTTCCCAAATTGGAATTGAGAATGTGTCTTCTCAGAATCAGGTTAATATCATGCCTATCTTCCCAGACTTACATCAGATCCACCTATTAGGACCATCCCAGGAGTTAAAGAGAATTTTCTGAATAGTCAATGCCTACAACTCAGTTGTGTTCAGAATATACAATTCATAATTTATTCCTAGTGTGTAAACGGAGCTTCATAATTTCCTTTAACCATTTCCTAGTTCGTAAGATTGGGGTTATTGTTATACCCATTAAAAGTAATCCTGAAATAGGTTTTTAAAAATATATCTCATTAACTTGAGAAATAATCCCAGGGAAAAACCACTAAAAGTATATGCCTATCCATTAATTCCTCTCTGTAATGATCTTTACAGGGTGTTTATTTTACTAAACTGGGTGTTTTAGCAAAAATAAAGTAGAAAATCGTTTTCCTAGTCTTAATGAAATAAAGGAAAGCCAATTCTAATGTGGTACTTCTTGTATTCTAGCATACAGAACTCATTTTGGAAACAGTACATAAGTTGAATCTTTCAAACAGGTAATAGTGGAATTTCTCTAGTTGAAGAGCAGGGAGCATAATTTACCTGTTGTTCATCTCTCCCAACACAGTCACACGACCCCCAAGGTACTTTCTCAGAAGGGCCAAAGTTCTCTGGTACATCATTCATAAACCACTTATCTCCCTGAACAAAGATCTTCTGGAGAGTTAATTCTACAAAGTCACAGAAATCCGCACTAAAGGAAAATTTAACTTACCAATCGGGCTATAGACACCCTGAATGTTGGACAAGCCATATGGAATCGAGGAATGGCAACATTAAAAATCTTGTCTTTAAAGTAAAGGAAATGGAAGGTATAATATCCTTCCATATATCCTGATGTTGTAGAGAATGTGGTACAGCTTGTATATTCATATACCCGACCTGGGCTGATGATTGGAAATTCACCTGCAGAGTAACCAACAACAATAAATCAAAGTATAAATTCAGCTCATTACAGGAAATAAGTTATGTTCTCTATGACATTATGTAAATTTTGTAAAAGTAAATGTACAGTTAGAAAAAAGAACCTAAAAAGAGATAAAACAAGATGACAACAGTGATGGAATTATAAGGAATTATTTTATTCCTCTTGACATGTTTTCTCACTTCCCAAATTCTCTACAGAGTAGTGGGTAACATCTAGTAAAGCAAAACAAAAAAGGTACATGTGCTGTTCAAAGAGCTTTCAGGCTGTGACGATATAATCTCTAAGACATGAGTAATAAAAGATGTCCACAAACAGAGATAAGGGTAATCTAACTATTTAACAGTAGCAAGAGACTATAATATCAGGTTATGAAGATGCAGGCTAAAAATTTGGACCAGACAAAATGTCAGTCCCAGGAGAGGGTCTTCACACCAATTCACCAAATGACAAAAACAAATTATAAATTTAATAAAATTCCTTAGCACTAGATTTTCATGGATGTCTCCAGTCAAATTCATTAGCTAAACATGCAGAATGCTAATCTATGCATGCCAATAAATCAGAAAACTTTATTTCAAGTGAATTCTGCAGATGCTTAGGACTGATAATTGAAGTACATGTTATTTTCTTGAAGTACATTTTCAACCCTAAAGAATATGATGGTTCAGAAACTTAGGGTAATCAGGCTTCCCCTTTTTTTTTTTTTTTTTTGTAAAGTCACTGATAATTGAGCTTAAAGTAAATAAAGATGAAACATAAAAATCCGTGATTTTAATTTCAAAATCCTATCACCAAATTTTAAAAATTTAATGAATATGAAATTTATTTTCATCCTATGCATCTAACCTACAGAACATAACGATGAATAGTTAACCAGTTTAAGAAAAAAAACAGAAAAAGGATAAGACACGCCAGGTGATCCACAGAAAAGGAAATCAATCCCTGAATAATTGAGTTTGCTATAATGTTAGAATATTAACATTTAAGGGACAAGGGCCAGGGAATTAGCTCAGTGGCTCCGCCGCCTGCCTTGCAAGCACAAGGTGCTGAGTTTAGGAGCTAGATCCTTGGTACCCAAAAATAAAACCCCAAGAAACAAAAATTTAAAGGACAAACTGACAGGCTAATAACCTCCAAACTTTGCATTTATAGAAGTAAATTCTAAAATTTCTTTGAGGCGATTGGGGTACAAACCTAAATTGTGGGTGCTGCGCATGGTGGCGCAAACCTGTAATCCCAGCACTCGGGAGGCTGAGGCAGGAGGATCGCTGTGAGTTCGAGACCAGCCTGGTCTACATAGTGAGTTCCAGGTCAGTCTCAACTACATAGTGAGACCATGTCTCAAACAACAACAACAACAACAAAGACCTAAATTGTGGGTTACATACCAACAACTCCAGGTCCTTGAACTTCTTCTACATCTCCTTTAGCATTTGTTATTCTCCAGTAGCGACTGTCCAGCTGACAAGCCTTCTCAGGAAGTGCATCCTTGGACATTTCAATCCTGGAGGAAGGAGTGGTGTGGGGAAGACACAAATCTGCCCTATGTGCTTGGATTTCTTTTAAGAGCTACAGAATTAGGGTTAACAATATGAAAGAAAATTTCCAAAGGAAATTTAAAAAACCCATAAAACTCTGTTAGACATTTATTTTTGTAAGTTCTCAAAGATACTGCATTAATTAGTCACAGAAATGATTTTGATTTATGTACTTTCAGTGAGGAGCAACAAAAGAAATGGCAACAGAAATATGTGCAAACAACAGTGACACAATCTTGTTTGGCACATGCTTTTTTTTCCATGAAAAATTTCTAAAAAAAAAGTCTTGTATTCACGTCACAGCTATTTGACCCAGTTCTTTTTTCCCTAAGATTCTAAAAAGCTCAAAGCAAAATGACAAATTACTGGGTTTATACTTTGACTGTGTTTCTTCATTCTATCATTTCTCCTTTTCTCTAGGAATCTGCTATCTCTTATTTTCATGTTGAGTATGCTCTCTTATAAGCACATGTGGCTGATTTTATTTTAAGTATATCTTAATCCTAGGCAGGATCTAAAATGAACAATTAAACAATAAACATTTTATTGTTGGACATATCAAAGGCTATATACAATGCCCAAATCCTACGGTACTTCTTGGAAAGTGTATGTTAATGAAATATTTCCAGGATGCATACGTGCATACTGTACACATGCCATATTATAAAATAGGTAAATATGTTTTGAAATAAAGTATCCGCAATTCCTTGGAGTGGTGACTTGTCCTTATGTGATACAACAGAATATTTCTAAGTAAAGTGAATGTAAAATATTTGTTTCTATTTAATCAAATCCAATGCCTCATACCACATATGACATACATGAAACACTCAATAAACTTTAGATTTTTAATTGAATATAGGTGGGTCAGATGAAATTTAAAATGCGTGGCCTCATGTTTATCAATTCGATTATTTCTAAAATGCATTTCAACTCTAGTACAGATCTTTGATGATTACGACTTAGTAGTCCACTTCCCAATGAACAATACTTTCTACCTAGTACATGTGCACCAGAAAAGTAACACAGAGATTAATAGAAAGTTAAAGTCATTTACAACCACTATAGTATAGAAATGTATCTACTTTCCTCCAAACTTCAGTAAGAACCTATCTTTTAAAAGGCAATTTCCTCAGTGGTAGAGTGCTTGCCTGCATGCATGAGGCCCTGATTTTGATCTGTACTGCTGCAAAACAAAATAAAAATGGAAACAAACAAAATAAAAAAACCTCCAAATCTGTTTTATGTATGTCAAGTGGGACAAAAGCAACATATCCACAGAATGTATCCCACTATCAACTGAAAGGCAGCCCACTTTAAAGTTCTCACCTGATTCGGTATGTGAAGAAATAGTGGGGTGGGTGTACAGAACTGAGTTCTGGCAGAAAAGATGTGGAAACAGAAACTGTAATATCTCCAGTTGTTGCTACACACTCTGGATCATGAACGTATCTAGAAAGTTTAAAAAATTAAATATTTTAAAGTAACTTCCATTCTGTAAGACTAACGGTTTACAAATATAATGGACAATAGTTTTATTATACTTTAAAATCAAAACCATAAATCATATTTGGGAATAATCCTATCAAATTTAAAAGAAAATCCTTGGCTCAGTAATGGCAATCAAGGATCAAGAAGAGTGGTTCAAATAATGCACTGGTAATATTTTAAAAAAGGCTTATCTTAGTTTTCAAAGCTAAGAAAATTTTACAGACATCTGAAAACCTAGCTACATCTGCTAAATGGTGGCTCTGATAATAAAAAAATTTGTAAAAATATATAAGTATATTAGTTCTAATGCATAATTAGTCTACTGTTCCATCCTTTAATCTAGAAGCCCATAATGTATAATTATTCTATTGTTTCTGCCACAAAGGCTGCTGTGAACTAAGAGCACCTCTAATACTAATCATAATACCTGAATGTCCCATTCAGAGATTATATAAATACTTGGCAGGAGGGAATAGTTCCTGACTTGCTAGTCATACTAATTTTATTAATTATCAAACAGCCTTTGTTTTGTTCAAAGAGAAACTACATAGTTTCAAAGCACAGCTTCCAAATTTAAAAAATGAGCTTTTTTCTCGATTGTTCATGTCTGAAAAGTACTAAGTGTTTAAGTGGTTTACTTTTGCAGTAAGAATAAAATAGTTTAAGATAATGAGAGGTTCTCTGATTAACTTTGGGAATTTCACCTCATGATCTGCGATCTATGGTTTTCTCTGACTTGTAATCATTTCAATCCAGCAAACCCGAAATGAAATACCTGAAAATTTGGTCTCTGATGATGGGAAAGCCACCTGATACAACATTTCTGACATAAGAAGTAAACCAGTCAGTAAAAGTAGCACCTACAAACCAGGAAGAGGGAAAAAGAACATACAGTTTTATAAAATCTAAACAGGAAATAAAGAAAATAACTACTATTTCTTTAAGCTTAAGATGTGATACCAAAACTGGAAACATTTATAGAGGCAATTCTACTAGTCCTCTAGCAGGTCAGTTTCTATTCCACTCACTTTCGTGAGATTCTGTCTCTTCCTAACCCTTTTAAGAGGGACTCCTTCGGTTATCTTCAACCTTTTCTTCTTAAAACATAACCACTGGTTCTGAAAATACTGAAAAGTTTCATTCCACAATTTCTAAAGCAAGCAAAATGAAGGAGATTTAGCTATGTCTAGGAAGAAACTAACCCTAAAAATCAGCATCTATTCTCAGGTGACCAGGGAACCCTGGCCCAGGGACGTGCTGACTTATCCACCAAATTCTTGCAGAAGCCAAGCTCGCTCTGGTTGTCCAGCAGGGGCACGGCACTGTGGACTGCTGAGCATCAGGCCAACCCCAAAGTGCTGCAGAGTGGCCCTCTGTCTTCTCCATGAGCCGCTCCAAGCAGAAAAGAAACACTCCAACAGGCCAGGGAAGACCGCACCTCAACGATGCAGGGACTGAATCAAAGGCAGCTATCTATGCAGATGAATCCTGGTGACACCTTCCAGGCAGCACAGCACGATGCTATCGGACCATGCCATTTGTCAACACATCTCAAGGCCTAGCACGAATTAGCCCCGTAATTAGCGTTTGATAACGTTTTTGTAGTCTGGTTTCAATTAACTGAGTTCTGCACTCTACCACACTGAATGTCAGATGCTGATTCTAAAGCATTTAATAATTATATTATTTAAGGAATCATAGAAGATATACTTTGTTTTGTATCTCAACGTACAAGGCTATAACAGTTTCAAAGCATCAATGGAGAAAAGGTAAACTATAATAGTTGGCCCTTCCCTCGGTATTTAATGGCCTATTCTGACTCATTATTTGTTAAATGCACCGAGAGATCACCCATTATTCGGTCCACTGTGAATAAGACATTTGGGAGCGATCTGAAAAATATTAAAATTCACAGACGGCTCTGGGTTTGATGCAGCTCCACAAAAATAATCATTGTAATTTTTTATGTTTCTTGAAAGTAACATTTTCTTCTTCTGATTTTTTCACATATTACATTTTTAATGTATTTTTATTCCAGGTTATGTTTCACAACTAGTACTTCCTTTCTTGGTTGTTTTTTTAAAACAGGGCCTAACTATGTAGCCCAGACTGGTTTTGAACTCACAGTGATCCTCCTGCCTCAATCTCCCAAGTGCTGGGATTATAGCTGTATACTGAAGAATTTTAAAAAATCATTTTGTATACTTCATAGAATATTATATATGAAATAAATGATGTGCATATAAAAGAAATCGCCACGGTACCCTTAAGCATACCTTCATTTAGAGTAACATATACCAAAGTATGTTCGAGGTGAGGACAGAGCAGGTAGCATTCACTACTAAAAACTCATCTGAGGACAGATTTCAGTTTTCTTAAGTATCTAGTAATAGTGCCCTGAACACTCGGAGATGTCATCCTCCTTCCTCTGTGTTATCAAAAATCCTGTGAAACCAACCTAAATGAACCAAGATAGAGTTTACATCTTAAGTTTCCCGGTGAGCCCACGCTTGGGAGTTTCTTAGATAATGCTGGTGTTTGGCAAGGTAAGGAAGCTGCTCTCTCTTTCTTTCGCCACGGCACACACTGCACACCTCACCTATTCTCAGTGCATCTCACACCTTCTGCTCTGCTCACCTCTCTACGTGAATTCCCGGGCCTTGGCATTCTGCAGTAATGGTGGTTTCTTCCTCACTATGCAGCTCAGCACTACAGTAAGAGTGAGACACAGAGCCTAACAGCAGCTTCCCTGATTGCTTGGGCAGCCTTCAGTCCGTAAGCTGAGTGACACTGCTGGGCTCAAGCGGAGATGTCATCTCTGAAAGTCTTATGCAGATGCCACTGAGGGCAAGGAGCATGGGCAGGACCTCCAGAGTGCTTAACTTAGAAACCAGAGACCACGAGAGTCAGTGAGTGGAGAGCAAGGGCCTAAATTTAAAAGCTTTCATCACTTACTAGGTAGGAGTAAGACCTTCTTGACATGGCAAAGTATACCACAAACGCCGACTGTGTCCTGGTGTGGAACAAATGGATATTTATTCTCTGTTCAAAATTGTAATTAGAAGATGTAAAAGCTAGCAAGGCAGTTTTGTTTTCTTTTTTTGTGTGTGTGTGCTGCTCAGGACTGAACCCAGGGCCCTGTGCATGCTAGGCATGTGCTCTACCACTGAGCTACATGCCTAGTCCACTTCTTTCCTATTAATACAGGGGAATGATTAGTATGTGTCAGCAATACCTTTGAAAGCAGAATGGCCACAAAGTCTCTGACAGGTGGGCAAAATCTAAGCAACGTGAGACTGAATGAATAGCAAATGTACTTGAATATGACTAATAGATTGTCAAAAGCCTATAAGAAATATCCTTTTATGACCAAGGAAAAATAGTGGTGCCAAGAGGTTTATGAAGCACATGATTTGCATTGGTCTCAAAGACTGCTGATTCTGAAGTCACTAACGTCACTCATCAGTATCTGGCATTAGCACCTAAGAGACAGAGTGTGAAGTCAGTTATGTATGTCCTATCATACACTAGCAAGACCAACAGAAAATGTAGATGTGTTAAGAGCACTGTATACACAGAAATTCTATGCATCTCAACAACCTAGAGAAGAGCACTAAGGGCACAAGACTGAAAAGGGTATGACTTTTTTTTTCCAAATAGAACCAAAGTTCATTGAAAATGTAACAGCTATGCTAATGATAACTTAGATGCAGTAATTTATAAACCAGAAAGCCTTAAGAAATCCAAATATGAAACATCTAGTTATTCATAACCTAGAAAATTTCATCAACTTTTTCTCCTTTAACCAGAAAGAGTGGTAAAGAATGACTTTTTCTCCTACCTATGATAAACATGTCAATAGCAGCTGGGTCCCGAGCCATTTGGTCCTAGGTGAAAAAAAGAATGTCATTGATACATTTCTTATTGTTCTTTACCTGGATCTCTTCCCAGAACAAAGAAAAACAGATAAATACAACTTAAGTGTTCCAACAAATACTGTGGTATCCCTCACGCTTTTGAGTTCTTACTCCTAGGATTCCTACATTTAAGCTCTTCCTATAACTTCCTTGGAAGAGTGCAGGCACTTCAGGAAGATTAACAGTTATGTACTGCTACTACTGTTGGCATAAATGAAGCAATTATCCTTCAAGAACACAACTAGGAAGTTGAGGTAGTAAGAGAGATGGCTTGTTATATCCTGGAAGAAAGGGCTTTGGGTTTAAAGTTAAGAGATCTGAACAATTCTGATACATTCAAAAGCTAAATTTTTTTTAAAAGTTAGAAGCATATGTTATAATTGAGTACATCGATGAGGAGTTCCTCTTAAACTTCAAATCATAGCTCTCCTTCTACATATACCAGGGTTCGCATTATTTAGCCAATGGTAAAGGTTTCTTATGGCATTCCACACCATTATGTTACAATATTCGCATTTTAATTAGTCTATCCCTGTTCTTCAACCCTGAAAATACTAATGCACCCATTTATGTAATCATCAGAATGCCCCTTGGGGCTAGGGATCTAGCTCCAGTGGTTCTGGTGACTGCCTTGCAAACATAAGGGCCCGAGTTCGATGCCCGGTACCAAAAAAAAAAAAAAAAAAAAAGAATGCACCCTAAAGCCACAACGAAGCACACTGATACTTACTGGACACTGGTAGAACACTTCATTTTTGTTTCGGCCCTCTGCTGCTTCCACGGCTATGTACTGACTCAAACCAGTATGGATGCAAAAGGTCAAAGGGAGGCAGTATTTCAGTCCCTGCCTCTGCTGGAAGCCTCCAGCAGCTGTATCAACGTCTAACAAATCTTCAGAACGATAGTGATTCGACAATGCCATACTTCCCAACAACCTGAGGAAACACAGACTCGAAGATATACAATACTGCAGCATCAAACCAAAGCCATGCTTTATCTACCTGACGAATCATTGCACAATGACCACTTCAGAAGGACTGATCAGTGATTCTAACTCAAGAATACCAAAATCAATGTTTCTATATATTAAATTCATTTGTGATCATAAAGATTATGATTAAAAACTTGAATTAAGTGTTTAGTCTAAATGTCAATCTTTTTAAAAGAAATATATTTATGTTGGTTTCAACAATGTACCTCTAGCTAGACAATGAGGTGTATACCTATAATCCTAACAGATTCAAGTCCAAGGCAGAAAGACTTGAAGTTTGAGTCCAGACTTGGCAACTTAGCAAGGCCCTATTTCAAAATTTTGCTTTTTGAGACAGGGTCTTCCTATGTAGTTCAAACTGGAACTCACTACTTTGTAGCCCAGGCTGGCCTTGAATTAGTGGTGATTCTCTTGCTTCATCCTCCTGAGTGCTGCAATTAGAGATGTGAGCCACAACAACTGGCTAAAAAAATTCTTAGAAAGGGATGGGGATGTAGCTCAGTGAAGGCTCTGGGTTCAACCCCTAGTGAAAAAAAAAAGCAAAATGAAGGAATGTATCTTGCCATGACATAATGATTTACCAATGCCTTGGTATATACAAAAATGCTAACTCAATGTTTAAATGGGTAAATTCTCTGATAACTCTTATTTAGATACAACCTTTAGCTTACCTTCCAATCAGAAATATACTGCAAGTCAGTCTAAACCTTATTCAAATTTGAAATACATGGGATAAATATTAATCTCACTCCATTTGTGTCCTAGTAATAATGCATGTATCAAGGACTACCTAGTGATTCCAACGAGATTTCTATACTAAGCATCCTGCTTGGGCTATACATTGTGTGTTCAAATTCATGATTTATGGGCCGGGGATTTAGCTCAGCGGTTGGTGTCCTGCCTTGCAAGTGCAAAGACCCGAGTTCAATCCCCAGTACCAAAAAAAAAAAAAAAATCATGATTTACTTGGTTCAGGGCAATTCTTAACACAAAGTTCCTCCTATTTGCTCTTAAAATATGAGAATTTTTTAACTTTGCCACATTTCAGTTTGACAAGGAAAAAATTCACCAGCACAGGTTTATCCAGTCCTAACTGACTTCTATTTCTGACTTGTGCCTGATAACTGATGTTGGAGAAAAGCTCTGCAATGTCAGCGTGATCACTTCTAAGATCCCCTGAACACACTCACTCTCATCTGAAGCTGTGAACAGAGTCTCACAGGAGCCTTTACACATAACCATACATCAGGTTCCAATGGGGACCGTGCAATGGTCTCCCTGCCCTCGTCAGCACTTCAGAATACCAAAGTTTCTGAGACGGCTTCATGTCATGAACATACAAACAGAGCAGACCTAGTCAAAGCTGTGAGGCAAACTGAGGGCTATCAAACAGTCTGCTTTTACCAAAACTTTCACAATAATTATGTTACCTTTTAGAAGTTTTAAATAGGCATCTGACTACAGGCTACTCTTGATGATGAATAAATTCATGTTTTCTTTAACGTATGTAGCTCTGAGAAAAACAAGTTCCCTAAAGAGTTTACCTGGCCTGTAACAGGATAATCATATAAAAAATTCTACAGTTTAGTTAACATATACTTCCATGTACCTCTGCCCTCTGTCCCCATGCCCTTGAGCCCTGACCAGACTTCACTCTTATTATAAGGATGTTGGTAGAAATGTTTTTTATGAGACATATTTAATTTTGGTAAAATCTAATTCAAGCTATACATTTTGTCTTACGGATTGTTATAAAGAGGAAGAGGGAATACGTATGCTACTCTACTTTGTTAAGGGTAACTACAAAAACAATTTACTTTCATTCTAGAAAACAACACGCATCATTAGAAATAACCAAAACATGGAACATCTTACCCAGGAACCACTAGCTTCTGTCCATTGTGGATACGGTATGAACACCGATAATCATCAGGAAGCTTGCAACCGATCTGAGCTTCCACTGCATCTAGGTCTTCCTCACGTGCGCCCTCTGCAAATCACACAAAAGGGCGAACTGTGAAGACGCATGAGCCTTCAATCTGAAAAGGAAAGGAATCTATCCGCTAACTCCTGAAACAATCTCAGAGAGAGTAAACTTTCTACAATATATTGCTAAAATAAAATAAAATAAAAATAAATGGCTAAAGCACAGGGCAAATGAGTTGCTAACTGAACATTCGTTTGGAGCACCAAGCAAATCAAAGTCCTTAGTTTCCTCTGAGTAGAGAAAACTCAGCAAAACATGGAAAGAGGGCATCAATGAGATGTACAATAATTTTTCTACATTATAACAAAAATAGGATATATCTCATTTTTAAAACCTGAATATATTCATACTGTTTTATTTAAAAAGCCAGAAATTATCTAAACTGATGTTTCTAGAATTTTAACATAACCTGTCTCCCTCTCTTTTTAATTTGAGATGAGGTCTTTGCTATGTTGCCCAGGCTGGTCTCAAACTCAAGTGATCTTCCTACCTCAGACTCCTAGTGCTCGGACTATAGGCACACACATCTTGCTCAGCTCTAAAGTGGTCTTTCTATGATAAGTAAAGAAAGGACAGGGCCAGGGATTCAGTTCAGTGGCACCGTGCCTGCCTTGCAAGTACAAGGTCATAAGTTCGATCCCCGGTTTGGAAGGAAGGAAGGAAGGAAGGAAGGAAGGAAGGAAGGAAGGAAGGACGGACAGACGGACATAAGGTATAGGTTCATGCCATGAGCAGGTCACTGATTTGAATCCTAATTTGCACATTTGTAAACTTCTACACAGTCTTAGTATAAGTGTTGCCGAAGCGCAGTTAAGCTTTAAAAAGCAAGAAGAAACTACAAATACGAGAGGAGAGGTCCACTTTCAGTAATGACCCACCAGGTTACTGTTTGAAGACTTATTAAAAAACCAAAAGGAGAAGAGGAGGTTCAGATGAAGTAAACTGAGAGGTTAACCAGGCTTCTGGAATTACCTTGTCTTTGAAACAACTGCCAATTCCAAAAGCAAACATGAAGCAAAAGGCCAGGAAACTGAGCAAAGATTTAGGTACTACCTTAGGCCCGAAGGGTAAATAAAAGTGGGCTGCAGGGTTCTCAAAGGAAAAATGGACCTGTAAAAACTCAGGTCTTTTGGCTAGAACCCAGAAGGGCTACATCCCAGGAGTAGGGGAAACTAAAAATAGACTAGCATAATACTCACAAAATCTAAAGCCCAGTTTCCAATCACACCAATCCCTAATTGGATTAAGGTCATCTGTCCACTGACTAGCTGCCAGGCAAAGACAGAAATCTGTAGAAGATAGTAACACTGCCCCCAAAACTCTAAGTGATGCCTAGCAATCAATCAAAAATAAATTTAAAAAACTAGGCTTACATAAAGACAAGATCTGAGAAAAGAGAAAGAGGTTAAAAAAAAAAAAAGACTGAAAATAAAACTAAATTCACAAAATATCATTACTAGAGTCAGTAAACATGGACTTTAAAATATCCATAAGCACCCATAAAATACCCATACACTGATATACTTAATGAATTCAGTGACATGGTAGAGAATCTGAGTCAAGAAGCAATTATGAACCTCATGAAGAATAGCTACAAAATTAATTCTACACAAATATCTGGAAAAAGTGCTAAAAATAAAAGAAGTCTTAAAAACATCTGGAGATAGACAAAACATATAATTACTACCTTCAAAGGAAACACAGTCAAACCAGATTTCTTAACAGAAACAAAATCAGAAGAATGATTTCATAGTGACTGAAAACATCAGGGGTGATTAGAATTCTGTATCTTCCCAAAGAACGAAGATGAAAAACATAACATTTTTGGGCTGAGGATACAGCTTAATGGTAGAGCTCTTTTCTAGTGCATGGGGGACCTTGAATCAATTCCCGGCACCAAAAGAAAATTAGTTAATTTAAAAGAAAATAATACACTTTTAGACTAAGAAAATCTGAAAAGGTAGCAGCGGTTCCTCATCAAAAGAAATTCTTCAGACAGGAAGACAATGATCCTTGATAGAAGCCTGAAGATGTAGGAAGGAAGAACAACCAAAAAAGAAAAATATAAAGGTAAATCTAAATCAATAGTGATTATCTATACAGTAATGTTTTTAGGGATATAAATATGTTGAAGAAGACTAAAATCACAAAACTGTAATACAAAGGAGATGGGGGTATAGCTCAGCCATAGAGCAGGCTGGCTTAATATGTACAACACTCTGAGTTTGATCTCTAGCCCTCTAACCCCTCCCAAGTAAAACCTCAAAACTGTAAGGCAGGAGGGAAGCGTTTGGAATTAAGGCATCTCAGTTTCTTTCATCATCAGGAAGTCATGAAAATACTATTTTACATTAGGGCTTATTAAGTCACAGATGTACAGATTAATATCTATGGTAACTGCTAAAAAATAATGTAAGAAAGGGTAAGGAAATGGAAAAAAGGAGACTGCAAAAAAGAAAAATGTAAAAAGATCAATGAATATGATATATTTAAATTCAAATATATACACTAAATATGAATGGGCTAAATAATCTAATAAAAAGACAAAATGACACACGAGTTGAAAAACAAGGACTAAGGATAGAGGTCAGCACTAGCCTAACATTCACAAAGCCCTAGGTTCCATCACTGGCAACATTTAAAAAAACAAAAACAAAACAAATTAAAAAAACACGTAATTATCCCTGTATAACAGATACAAACAAGAGAGCTAAAACAGTTCTAGTAAAAAAATCACAGGAAAGAGACTTTAAGGGAAACATCTTTACCATAGCTAATGGAAGATTTCTCATTATGACAAAAAGATTAAACCTACTACACAGATACTATAATTCTAATTTTATGCACCTAATAATACAGCTTCAAAATATATTTTTTAAATGAACTGAAATGGAAAAAGTTGATCTATAAGCACAGTTTTCCACTGTTGCAATATTAGCAGCTTAACATATCATGTAAGGCCCTGAATTCAGTCCCTAGAATCACAAAACAAACAATCCAACCAACAACACCTTTATTATTCAAGCAAGTGTGAGGGTGAAACTGTCCAGGCAAGGCTCCTTTCTTAAATGTCTCTCCCAGACAGGACAGTTGGCCACTCTTTTCTAGGCTCAGCTGAGGGGAGGTAGAAAGGGCTGAGTCTAACTCCCAGGAAACAGAGCCAGGACTCTCTTGTATTATTTCAGTTTGTGTAGGTCAGAAGTCTAGGTGTGACTCAACTGAAACTACTACAAGGCTGAAATCTCACCCTATTGGGATCCTCTTCCGAGCTCATGGAATTCAATTCCTTAAAGCTATAGGATTGAGGCCCTCTGATCTGACAGGCCATTTGTCATTCTCTATGATAGGGCCTTCTCTGTAACGTGCCAGTTTGCTTATTCAAAGTCAACAGAGAGAGACACTTTGAATCTCACAGGCTTCTGGAAGGCCCAGACCCCTTCAAAGACTCACTTGATTGAGGCAATCATGCTCAAGATAGTTTCTCTTTTGATTAACAAAGGTCTCAAACTCAACTAATTTGGGACTTTCACTACATCTGCAAAAATCTCTCAACCTTTTTCATATTATATGGACTAAACACAGTACAGTAGTGAAATCAATTCAGTTTTGCCTACACTCAAAGAGAGATGATTGTACTTAGGCACGTATACCAGGAGTTGGGAGCTTGGGTGCTACCTCAGATATCTACCTCAACAGTGAAAGATTTCAGCATACTTCTCTCAGTAACTAATAGAAATAGGCAGAAAAGAAAAAAAGTAGTACAGAAGATTTAAACAAGATTAACAAATTTTACCTAATTGCATCTACAGTACTGAACTGAATAATTACAAAAACTACATTCTTTTCAGTTGAACATGGAAGTTATTCAAATAGATAAAAATGGATTACACATGGACTAAACACAAACCACAACCAATTTTAAATGAGAGAACTCACATAGAATATATTCTCTGATCACAGTGAATTAAAATATATATTTTTAAAATTTTTCTTTAAAAATATACTTTTAAAGGTTACTATAAAAGTTCTGAATGTTTCAAAATTTCTACTTAATCCATGGGTTAAAGAAAAAATTAAACTAAAAAATAATCATAATGAAAATGTAATATATTAAACTTCATGGGATAAGCTAATATGCGTAGAAATTTACAGCACTAAATGTATTAGAGAAAAAAGCAAGCCTGAAAATCTACGGACCAAGCAATCATCTCAAGTCAGAGAGAAAAAAAAAAAGCACAATGAAACTCAAACACAAGATGAAGAAATTAATGAAATAAAAAATAATCATGTAATAAAGAAAATTGATCAAGAAGCCAGTTCTTTGAAAGATAAATTAGCCCTGACCTAGCAAGACTAATCAAAAAGGCAAGAAAGTATAAAAAATAGAAGTGGGCCAGAAATTTAGCTTAGTGTTTCTGCCACCTGCCTTGCAAGTACAAGGTCCCGAGTTTCATCCCCGGTATCCCCACCCCTCAAAAAAAAGAAACAGAAGTAATATCACTACAGATTCAATAAACATTCAAAAGATATACACTCTCTTTTTATACTATAAAATATTTTATTTATGCCAATTAATTTGAATATGTAAAGAAGATTAATTTCCTAAACACAATTTATCAAAATTGACATAAGAATAAATAGAAAGTCTGAATAGTCTGATATCTAATAAAATTAAATCTAATAAAATGAAAACTTTCCCACAATAAAAACTCCAGGGCTGAATGGCTTGCTGCCAAAGGCCCTGGGTTCAATTCTTGCATGTTAAAAAAAAAATACTTAAAAAAGAAATCACAATACTTATTCTCAAACAACCTTAGCAGTACTATTTTCTTTAAATAAAACAAGTATAAGGAAAAAAGGAGTTCAGCTTTCACTTCTAATAAACAATCTTGTGGGTTCCAACGCTGAGCAAAAACAGGGCAAGCTCCAGAGCAAAAGTCCTTTTAATCCTGTTGGCACTCTACTTCCTTGGCAACTGTGAATGGTGGACTACAGACAAGCTTGCATCGGTACAAGTGCATAAACAACAGAAATTCAAAGTTATTTAAACTAATTTATTCATACTAAATAACAGAAATGGGAGAAGAAAGACCCTGCATTCCCAGTACCTTTCAGAGATAAAACCATCCGAGGACACCTGGGCTCCAAATATTTCTTGAGATCGTCCCAGGCCTTTTTAATAGCAGCATAATGGTCAATGTATCTTCCTACATCAGAGTAAGTATCTATGAAGAGAGATTTCCAACACTGATTCTTCTGTGTTTTCTCTTCCCTAAACAGATTTTAAAAATGAGATTATAAATCTTGTGAAAAGATATTACCAAATATTTTCTACACTAACACATTTTATTATTTTAGCTACAAAGGGAGACTATACAGCAAAAAGTGATACACACATCAAAAAGTTTAACGGGCTGTTGATATAGAGGGATTATGAGTCACTTATTTTCTTACTTTCTACTTAAATTTTTTCTAGGTTTTCTAATCATTCGTAAAATATAGTATGAACAGTATATGAGTAGAAATCTCAACTTGTAACAATATATCAGCTGTAAAAATTTAAAAGGTATATATCGTTGTTCTATTTTAGAGAATATTTAGAATCTAATGATATAAAGAGCCAGGGACATAGCTCAGCAGTGTAGCACCTGCCTGGCAAGCGTGAGCCCTGAGAATGATTCCCAATACCAAAAAAGAACACAGAAAAATAAAAGGGCAAAAATAGAGAATCTAATGATATAATATTAAGCTAGCACATACATATTGCATTAGTAAGAGAACCATAAAGCAGCAAAATAATTATATATGACTCAACATTTCTATTTGGTATAATTCTGCAAACATTTATTGAGTGTCCACTTAGCTGCCACTGAAGACATAAAAAGGCGCGCTCACACACACATACACACACACACACACACACACACACACACACACACACACACACACACACACACACACACACACACACACACACACACAAACTTCAAAAAGCTATAATCTTACCAGGAAGAAAGAATAAAGTGTAAATTTAAGATTCAGAAGTGATGGAGGATAAAGCAATCATAGAAAGCCTGAAGATGATGAGCTTGACTTTCATGTGTAGAAAACAAGAGCAATGGAAGAGTTTTACAGGGAAGTTAAAAGAGCAGACTTTAGGCTCTGGTTTGGTCAATGAACTAGAGATATAGAGGAATTAGAAAGATTTTGGGGCCAGGGATTAAGCTCAATGGTGCTACTACACCTGCCTTGCAAGTGCAAGGTCCCAAGTTTGATCTCCAGCACCACTAAAAAAAAAAAAAAAAGAAAGAAAGAAAGAAAGATTTTGCAGGGATGATGGACTGAACTAAAGCTGTGGAAGCTAGGTGGAATGAACAGGAAGCCTCAAGAAATATACAAAAGCTCAAACTAGGAAGGGTTGGCAATTGAGTCAATGTAGGGAAAGAGAAACATCTAGATGATTCTTCACTCTGGCTCAGATGCCAGGATGGATGGTACTGCCATGAATACTAAGGATGCAAAGGACGTAATTAGAGATGAGAAAAGAGCAAATCAAGGTAGGAGTTTCAAGAGGGGAGCATCTTTTTATTAATCTAAACAACATATACATATATTATCAAAACTAAAAAGTATCAAAGAACTGGACTAGGGGTACAGCTCAGTGGTATAGCACTTGGTTAGCAAGCATGAGGCCCTCATGCCTTAAAAAATAAAATAAAAATATAAAAAGTACCAAAGAACTTGTGAATAAGAAAAACTAGTTCAAAGCCCAACCTTTCAAAAAAAAAACAAGTTATTTAAGAATGCTATCTCTATAATTCTAAATATCAACTTTATACATATTTGCTGATACTCCAAAGTGAAAGATGTGGACATAGTAATACTTAAAATATAAATTAATTAAAATTCCCCTTCTCCCATTCTTCCCCCTCCAAATGTTAATAGCTTTGTTACTAATTTTTAGTTTGGTAGAATTAAACCTTGCAGCTTTAAATAACACACTTAAACTTCTACTTCTTGCCTCCTCTCCATCTAAGAAAAAAATAGTAGTATTCCTACCTTTCCTTTCACCTTTCCCAACTCTGTCTTCTCATCTATATTTCTGTTCTGTCAAATCGTTAATATTTACTGAGCCCAGTTACCCCGTGCATGACAGTCCAGCAGACAACTGTGCCACTGAGCCCAGAGCCCAGTGAGGACGTAAAGGGGGAGACTCAGGTCTGGGAGTTAGGAAAATTCCGGTGGTCCCTAGGAACTATAGCAACACATGCTGAAAAGTCACAAAGGGAGAAGAGCAGTGGATGAAGAACAGAATCTTGGAGAACATCAAGATTCCCTAGCAGACCCATGAAGAGGATCAAAGGAGACAGAGGCTAGAGAGGTGAGTCAGGACAGAGTGTCACAGTAGCCAAGTGTCACATTTCAAGACTACACATTCCTCATTAGAGGGTGGGAAGAGGAAGGAGGAAGAGAGTCAGAGGGAGACTGAATGATAAGTACTAAAATAAAGTACAGTTAAATAGGAGTAGTAAGTTCTAATGCTCTCCAGCACAGTTGGACAAGTAAACAGCAATTTTTTCTATATTTCATAAAGAATAAAAGGAGGAGTTCAAAGCTTCCAAAACAAAGAAATGATTAAGCATTTAAGGAGACAGAAATGCTAATTAGCCTGATTTTAATCATTATAGTTGTACACATTGTTGAATCATCACACTGTACCTTGTAAATATGTTCAATTATTATGTATCAATTAGTATAGTTAAAATTTTACTCTTAAAAAATGAATCCTTCCCATAGAGACACAAAAGAATACACATAGGGCTGGAGATTTAGTTCAGTGATACCACACCTGCCTTGCAAGTGCAAGGTCCTGAGTTCAATTCCCGGTACAAAAAAAAAACAAAAAACAAAAAAACAAACAGTTCCCTCCCCCAAATACTTACTCGGTTATCAGCCAGTATTTTTTGCAATGTCTTCTCCACAGTGGATCATGACTTGATAGCTGGCTAAGTCTTCGACTCACATAGCAGCAACTGGCAGTAACCAGATTCACAGGAGTAAATTAAAATGCAAAAATATTAAAAATAAAGATTAAAATAGTCATTGCTAAACTTCATTGTATTCCTCTCACTCTTCTTATTTTCCAATCAAATCAATATTTTCTAAGCATACTTGGGAGGTTGAGGCAGGAGGATAGCAAGTTTTAGGCCAGTCTGGGCAATTTAACAAGTTGAAGGCCAGCCTAGACTAAATAACAAGACCCTGTCTCAAAAACAAAAACAATTATTTTCTAAGACAGCATTTTGTTAACATGCTAAGCTAGTATAACTACCACAATCTTTTCACTCACAAATCCTGAAACTTCTACAATTGTAATTTTTATAAGAAAGTCTACATATGAAACATATGTACCATTAGAGTTAATCTCAAATCAGAGTTTTCCTACATTATTATCAGAATAGTATCACCTCTAAGTATAAAAAATATTTATGCATAAGCAAAGTAGTTATCAGGTCTTTTCTTCATGATTAATAAAGACATTCTATAAATACACAGATCCTTTGCTTTGTCATAATTTTTTAAAGGAAAAAATACTGCAGCCACCAACATTTTTTTTTTTAAAGAAAACACTGGAAAATCCACCTAGAAAGACATCTGAATCATAATAGTTCTGAATCAATACTCACGACTATACAAGGTACCAGCTGCCCCAAAGCAGGGAATGTTAAAAGTAAATGCTTTTCCTACTGTTTCGAGATTTCTAATACTATAATGTTCCAAGCCTATAATGCTACCCTACATAATTAATTTGAAATAAGAATGAACCTGGATTTCTATTTTTTTAGAAAAGAAATCACAATTCACAGAAAGTAGGTTTTCAAAGATCTCACTTGGCAACATTAATCAATTAAATTTTTAATCACATGGAGCTTTTAAGACCATGAGTAGGGTGTACAAAAAATCCATCTATGATAAATTATTAGCCTTTGATTTAGAGGTTTTACAGAGATACCATCCTCATCCTTTTCTGCCAGGCAAAGAAAACACTCCAATTTTTGTAAACACAAGAACCTCTCCAGTTTTATAAATTCAGGATTCATTTTCTCTTTTCTTGGTTCCTCTCCCTCCACTGCCTCAGCAACTGTAAGAAGCACCAAAGGTGATTTTGATACACGTCGAGTTTGAAAACTAGTGTTCTACATGAAGACTCTGATTCAGATGCCTGGAGTGAGGGCTGTATCAGGTACAGTTATGTTTAAAGGTGCCACGGGTATTAATTCTGATGCACAGTGAAGGTGGAGAATGACATATGATGAATCACTGGGATGGAGAAGGTAGCACTTAAAGTCTCAGATTCATAATCTTCAGATTATACAACTGATCCTATGCCAAGATACTCACAAACTAACCGAATCCAAACCAGCATAGTTGAGCAAACATGTACCAAAACTGTCAGGATTTGGCAATGGCTGCACACTTGGCAAAGCTTGCCTGTATGGTGCAGGAAAGATGCTGCAGTGTAAACAGTAAGGGTATTCACCTCAACTGATTTCCACACAGCAATGGAGGGGTCGGTCATACCCCTTCTGTTTAAAAGTTTGGTTACCACCTAAAACATTTAAAATAAAATAAAATATATTCTCCTAACCTTGACTCACAGGTCTTATATGATCTCAACGGTTTCATCTCACACTACTCTGCTTGTGAGTCACTCCCTACTTCCAGGGACACCAAACTACTAAGCTCCTCCAATAGGCCTTGCTGTTGAACAGTCCTTCAGCCTCTGAATACACTATTCCCTCTGCCAGGACTGCGCTACACTGATATGGTAGCTCTTCCCACTGTGAATTGGTCATCTCTTCCTTCACAGTACTCAGCATCTCTTGTAATTATATGCACATGTCCATCTTTCCATCTTTCTAACATGGGGCATTTTTTGTTTGTTGGGGATCAAACTCGGGACCTTGCGCTTGTGAAGCAGGCGGCGGCACCACTCAGCTAAATCCCCAGCCCTCCATCTTTATATCTTGCCTACAAGTGTGTAAGCTGCATGAGAGGGGACCGCATCTATTTTGCTCACTACTGTAATCCTCAGCATTTAATGGGCTGGCACATAGCGGGTACTCAAAGAATCTGTCCAATAAATGATGACTACAAAGATAAGCAAGACAGTTCTTATGTGTGAGAAGTGCACAATCTATCTTGAGATGACATTTTGGAAGGAAAGGAATAAGGTAGTGGGGAGACTCAAATTTCAACTTGCCAGGTTGAGAAGGGGAAAAGAAGGTATTCCAGGCAGTCAAGAGCCTAAGCTACACAATAAAAAAAAGTGCAAGTTAGCACAAGTCTAATTTGATTAGTGGACTGTGCAAATATGATAGTAGAGGAGAAATAAGGCCTAAAAAGCCTTACATAATAAGCCAGATGATAAAGGCCTTAAATGTCCAGAAGTTCACGTCAGAGCATGTAAACACCAGTATCATATGTTTTTAAGGAGAAGGACAGCCAGATCTGCCTGGGAAAATCACTGTGGCAGCAATCAAAACTGTGTGGTAGGGTGGAGGAGGGGATGTGTAGATAGTAAGAGGTCACAGCAACAGAAATTTCAGATGAAAACAGTTTGAGCCAGAATAACTTTTTGTAAAGAAGAATTTTATTTTTCTGCACTGATACAGCCTGAGCAAGGAAAAATGTATTTTCTAGAAAAAGCAGCAAATAACCTGAGGAATCCCTCTGTCACCACTTTGCTAGGCCAACCAACAGCTATCTGTAACTCCAAGAAATAAGTATTCCTAAAAGAATCCCTAATAACAGGACACAGTAGCTAGAATCAAATGTCTATAATCCGATGGTTAATCTCACAGACACACAAAAAAAAGAAAACTCGGCTATTTGTCCTGAGAGAACATCCTCTCAAACATACGTGACAGCACAAGAAACTCTCAGGGCCAGGCCTGTCAGGGATATAAACAACCTTATACCCGGAGGGAGGGGACCGGGAAGGGGAGTGGGTAATACCATTTCTTCCACCATCCCAAACAGTGCCAATCTCTGAAAGAATTAGGCATTTAACCACCCTTACAAGCAACCGACGTTTAGCTTTGAAAGATGGCCCGAATGTGAGAAAGCTAAGGCGCACTTAAGACGATCACCTGTATCGCGCCACCGGAAGTCAGTACCAAAACACAAAACCCAACATCCAATCGTAAGGAGGAAAAGAATGAGAGCAAAACAGTTCTCAAACACAGAAGTCCCGAAGTGAGCCCTGCCAGTGATTACAGTGTCGGTGTCATACCGGAGGTGTCAGGGTGGCCTGTCGCCTTCCCCCGCGCACTCTTATCTGTCCACGCCAGCGCGGACCCCGTAGGCCTCAGCCTAACCAGGAGAAGCCTGAGCATGGACGGGGCTTATCTACGGCGTCCAGGGCTGTGACAGACCGGGCGGGGCCATTTACAAGCCAGGGACGCGACAGAGCAGCATGTGGGGGGGAGCCACCTCCGTCCAAGGCAACTGGGCCTCGCTGTGGCCTGGGAGAAAGACCCACGCCCCAGGGTTTTAGGCGCAGGCTGTGAGAAAGACTTCAGGGGTCCTTACGACCCGGCCCCTCAGCCCCCAGGTGGCTCTGCAGGATAAGGCGACCCAGGCGTCACCTTCTGGAGACGCGGAATCCGGAGTCCACCGGCCTCCAGGCCTCTTTCCCTAGTGCTTCAGTGCCTCCTCCCGCTTGCTCCCCACCCCTGCCACGCGCGCCGCGTATTACTTGATTAGGTCCCGGTAGTCCAGAAAAGATAAAATGAGGAGCAAAGGATCGGTAGGCAGTGACTCCAGGGTCATCAGCGCCAACTCGGCCTCCATGGCCGCCATCTTGCGTGGCGCGGTGCAGCCTGGCCACGCCTCAGCCC